CCATGCTTTCATGTTGTAGACGCCAAATTCTGACCCTACCATCCGAATGTCGCAGCAGAAATCGAGACTCATCAGACCAGGCAACGTTTTTCCAATCTTCTATTGTCCAATTTCGATGAGCTTGTGCAAATTGTAGCCTCAGTTTCCTGTTCTTAGCTGAAAGGAGTGGCACCCGGTGTGGTCTTCTGCTGCTGTAGCCCATCTGCCTCAAAGTTCGACGTACTGTGCGTTCAGAGATGCTCTTCTGCCCACCTTGGTTGTAACGGGTGGTTATTTGAGTCACTGTTGCCCTTCTATCAGCTCGAACCAGTCTGGCCATTCTCCTCTGACCTCTGGCATCAACAAGGCATTTCCGCCCACAGAACTGCCGCTCACTGGGTGTTTTTTCTTTTTCAGACCATTCTCTGTAAACCCTAGAGATGGTTGTGCGGGAAAATCCCAGTAGATCAGCAGTTTCTGAAATACTCAGACCAGCCCTTCTGGCACCAACAATCATGCCACGTTCAAAGTCACTCAAATCACCTTTCTTTCCCATACTGATGCTCGGTTTGAACTGCAGGAGATTGTCTTGACCATGTCTACATGCCTAAATGCACTGAGTTGCCGCCATGTGATTGGCTGCTTAGAAATTAAGTGTTAACGAGCAGTTGGACAGGTGTACCTAATAAAGTGGCCGGTGAGTATATATATATATATATATATATAGAGAGATAGATAGATAGATAGATAGATAGATAGATAGATAGATAGATAGATAGATAGATAGATAGATAGATAGATAGATAGATAGATAGATAGATAGATAGATAGATAGATAGATAGATAGACAGACAGACAGACAGACAGACAGACAGACAGACAGACAGACAGACAGACAGACAGACAGACAGACAGACAGACAGACAGACAGACACAAATATCCCGGACGAGCCCCCACGAAACAGCTGATATGAATACACATTTTATAACTAATTCTGTGCATGGGAGAGGAATCAGTAATGGCTACAAAATATAATGAGTGTGAATCATGTACAAGAATAGGATTATACAACAAGATTCCAAGAGGGACAGTTATCTTAGGAAAGCTGAACTGTATATGCAAGCTTTCACTCCCAAGTTTGAAATTTATCTGACTAGTCAAAGTCCAAGACCCTCTTCTTTAATTGATGCCTGTTTATCAAATGCAGAACACAGAATAAGAACTGCAAGAAGTTCAAGGCCTACTCTAAATGTGGGATATTTGAACGCCTCAACAGTAAAAGCTATTTTTTCCCCTTATTAATACATAACAAAGAAAATCACATAAGTAATAAATGAGGCGGTATTTTATTAAGTAAAATAACCCTACATCACATAAAATTATACCAGTATGAACTAAAATTAGTAGGGTGCTACACACAGCATAAATCTGGTAATCTTATTGATGACTTGACAATAATTCCATCTGGTTTAGGATGCAGCACTAATTTTAAGTATAGCTTTACACCGTAAATGGCAAAAATATTGAAAGCAGGGAATATTTTTGGTTAAGAGGTACGCTAGTACTTTTGATGGACTCGACCTTGAAGCTTTACATAACTAATCCACCAGCGGATTGAACACTCAGTGAGAGGGTTTTTATAATGGGCTCTGTGTCTGTGATGATCTGTACCCCTTTAAAAGAACACATACACGAATCTGATATTTGTACCAGAGTAATTGGTTAGTTTTCTATTTAGATTCTAGAGGAGTTTGAGAGGTAAATATTATATGCACTGTACATTGGAAGATTCTTCAAAAACATATGATACAGCAAGATATGTGAGCAATTAATTAGTTTACCTAATTTTATTTAGTTTTTGTTTGATTAGAACGAAGGGTAAAAGGTCTTAGGTTCATCAGAGGGGCGTTACCTACTCTCCTTCTTTGGAGTCGTTTATCAGCAAACTTAATAATCTACAATCAAATAGAAGCTGCAGGGGCTCTCTGCACTCAATATCAGTCAGATATGTTTCTTGTGCATCAATAAGATTCCATATTATACGATGTGTAGTTTTGCAGATACCAACTTTACTCGTTACCAAAGCTTAATAAAATTCTGCTAAGCTTTTGTTGTTTGTTGTTGTTTTGTTTGTTTATATTAGTGAAACTAATATATTAGTTTATATTAGTGAAACTTTATATTAGTGAAACTAATATAAACAACCTTTCACTATTTGGGAAAGACAATTTTATTTTCAACCTGTTCAGATGCTTGATGTCTGTTTTTGACAATTTATCATATTAGAGCCACAAAATGTATTTCATTGGCCTTTTGTGATATTTCAACTAGGGCTGCAACTAACAACTATTTGGCTGATCAGTTAATCGATCGATTCTTTTGTTGATTAATTAATTAATAACAGGATTGGCAAAAGGATCAATAAGGAAGGTTTTACACAGAAGTATAACCAAGCAGGGCTAAAACCATCATGATTAATCCATATTTGAAATGACCTTCAATTAATTTAGTAATAGATTAATTGTTAACTGGAGAATCAAGACTCTAAAGTTGACAGAGCAACCCACTGGGACCTGGTTTGATTTAGTCTTCTTTAAGGAACCTTTGGCTATCTGGTTATTAATTGATTTATTGAAAACAAATATTGACAGATTAATATAATCAGATCAAAATAATCATTAGCCCTAAAACCAGGTAAAGCTAAAACTGTGTCCTTTGGCAACTTCTGGATGAAGAACATCAATGAACAAAGAAAGGTTTTTCCGACTTGAATGCAAAATGTTTATCTTTTACAATTTTGGTATAACAACTGCATTGAGTGGGTTGCTCTTTCAGCTAATGGCCTGTTTAAGAGTCGTTATACTCAATTTAACAGTTAGATTATTAAATGAATTGAGTTTATTTCAATAAACAATCAATTAAAATTTATCGAATGAATTGTTGTAGCCCGATTTTCAGTACAAAGAAGCAACTAACAGTGAAATGGCTCTTACTTTTTGGGAAAAGGCTAAATGACAGAATGGATGAAGAGCAGCTTTTTTTTCTATTCCCATTCAGTACAAAGTTTTGTCACGGATTCTCAGTTGGCTTTTTATTAATTAGGTCACTCTTACACATATTGATGCCTTAATCTAAACTTTGTATCTGAAGGTCTGTGTTTAGAGTTCCTGTCCTTCTGGAAGGTGATCTTCTGCCAGGATTTTCCTATATTGAGTGCTACTCATCTGCCAATCAACTCTGACCAGCCTCAGTGCTTCAGCAGAGGAACAGTATCCCCACAGCATGGTGCTGCCATGACCATGCTCAATAGCATAACAACACAACAATAGGCCAGTAAGCAACATTATCTGGGTGGGCCCCACATGAAGTACAAAACTGTATCCCCGCCGTCACTGCCATAGACAACCGACCCGAAATGTTCCCCATACATACACGCTTCATCATTTCATCATTCTTCATCTTCACTAGACATGGATACACTTTAGTATATTCTGCTGTAAAATGAGTCTTATCGGGCTACCTTGAGTTTTACAGCCCCCCTCCTCACCCACTTTCTCTCCATTTATCTCCTGGTCGCAATCTTTACTCACTGTAGCAGCAACATCCACCTCTCCGTCTTCTGTTCTTTGACAGAACATGTTTATTTTGGGAAATTTTTCAGTTCTTCCAGCAGCTCTTCTTTGCTTTTTATTTTCTGGAATCCACTTAAGTACCTCTTTTTGGTATCCATCGTCGCTAACATGTTGTACCTAACAGTTATGGTTTTAATCTACGCTCTGGATTACCCATAATTCCAAGTCGTAGTGTAAAAAATAAAATACTCAAATACATCGTTCTTTTAAGATCTTTATTACGGTTTGAAACATATTATATGAGTGTATTTTTACCAACCGTCCAATGAACTATACACAGTTATTAAAATAGTAATTGAAAGTACCACTGTCTCATTTGCTGTTGGTGTCGTGTTTAAATGGCTCACCATCCTGTTGAAATCTGCAATGTGTTGGGGTATAAATAAGGTCCGGTCAATCAGACTAGTATCAGGTGGGTTTAAGAGGAATTTTTCGCACCATTACATTTGCAAAGAGACATTCTCGCCCACAATTGCGTAGGAGGCCAACCAGGTGTCAGTGAAGGGGGCCCCTAAGAGGTCGGGGGCCCCTAAGCCACTGCAGTCTCTGCTTACCGATAGTTACGCCATTGACCATGCTTCCCTTCATAGAAAGTCTGTTGGCTACTCTTCTATAAAGGCATATTACTGCTGTTCACAGCTGACCTGCGCACAGTCTTCCACCAAAGTTATGGATTTCTGCAGCCATCACATTATTTTATGTCTCTTGACTGGTTCTATGATCAATGCTTTTTTGCGTCCATCTTAGTTTATAAGGAAATGGTAGGCTTTTAAATGAACTGATCACAGCATAAGATAATGTTTAATAAACTAAGAGTTAAATGTCTTTCTTTTAAATATTATCCCTGGCCAAACATTTGCATCGATACTATCATTATATTAGAGATTGATTCTGCTAATTATGGAACATCACTGCTTACACTTGATTTTATCAAGGGATGTCCGAATATAACGTTTCCTTTATTATTATTATTATTATTATTATTTTACATCTGAAATATTTGTTTTTATAGTACATGCATTATTTTTGAAGTGTAAATGAGTTACAGCCTCTTTTTTAGCTGTTATATTTGAAAAAATTCAATAAATGATCAAATAGAAGAAAAATTATGAATTGCAAAGTGGATAATTTATATTCTATGGATAGTAACTTGGATAAGACCTTGAAATGTTCCTCCCTGCCAAAATGTGATTTAGAGGGTGCAATAAAATGAGTATGTTTGTAGATTTTTGTCATGAAGAATATCCTGTCTACGTGAACTAAATGTGAAAGTACATCTGTCGAGGCACAGTGAAAAGGTTAAAAAGGACGCAGAGATTGTTAGACCTTTATGCAGGAGGAGTTTGATCCTTCATGCATGTCTGAGCGCAGACACAGTGCAGCCTCACCTGTCTGTCAGGTGCTCGGCTATCGGTGCAGTCCCGCTGGCTCCTGGGAGCCCAGAGCCGCCCACCGGGTCTGCGGGAGCCCCGAAACACCGCTGGGCTGTGAGGCAGAGACAGATGGGGACCAGTCAGCGGTGCTGGGAGAAGTGGACGGGTAGAGAAGAAGAGGGGAGACATCCAGCAGCAGAGGACGGGGAAACTCCATGTTCAGTGCGAGAACATCCCGGCGGAAATCAGGAGCAGCTGACGGGAAACGAGATGCAAACTGATTGGTAGAATCCGACAGAACGATGCGACAGCAAACAGGGGTGTTTACAAGAAGATATCGCTGATTTTACAGGTTTTATCAGGACTTCTTCTCAGGCACCCACTGAACTCCTTATGTCTCCTCTTTAGGTGCTCCCTCTCTCTCCTCTCCACCTGCAGTCTGTCCCTCCCCTTCCAAATATTTAAACAAACCTCTGTCAACTTCTGGGCTACATACATTTCTCATGCATGTTTAAAATTGCATTATTTCACTTTTTACCATAATAATAACCATTCATGAATTAAATCTTCTCCTTTGTCAGTAAATCAGTATTATGCAGTCAGGGGCGGAGCTAGATGGGGGGCCAGGGGTGGCCATGCCCCCCCTTAGCCATTCATTGGCCACCCCTACCGTTTTTTTCTCTCAGGCAGAATATTCAAAACAATTAAATTTTATATATATTAATCTCTTAAAACCTTAAGTGGGGGTAATAATTCAGAATGCATAAAATTCCAATGGTAAAATCTTTACCAGCAGGTGGAGCCATTGTGCTCAGCTCCAAGCTGACACCAAACGTTCCAATTCCCACAGCTCTGGAACTGTTATAGCTAGAGATCTGAAAATGTCTGTATTTGTGGTTAACATGATGTAGAACAAATATAATCCCTGCTTTTTCTCAAGAATGTCTTTATTACTGCTGTTCAAAAAAAGACCTATAATTTCCGAGAACAAAAAAACAACTTTGAGTCATGTTTGAACTGATGGAGCTTGGTCTTTGTTCTACTCACACAATTCTAATTTATCTATTCAGAAACTAGAGGGTGTTAGCTTTCAAATAATGTATTGCACATGTTATCTGGGCTTACAGTTCCTAAGTTATTTGCTTTTCCATTTGGGTATGTAAAATAGGCAAGGATTACCCAAAATGAGGTAGATGTTAAAAGGTTAACAATTACTTGACACTTGACTGTGGTTAATTATGCACATCAATATACCAATATTAGAGATGATAAGTACAGAATTTATGCTCTTTCAGAACTAGATTTTGTGTTATATGTCAGAAAAGGATGTCTCTCTGCAAGTCATCTAAGAGTCTTCAGTAAAATCATAGATACTGTAAATAACTATTTTAATAAAAACCTATTAAATTATCAATGTATGTAGATATTAGTACGTGTAAATATCAATTTAATGCAGGATGATATTGATAAAAGTAGGTAAGGGATGACAATGGAAAAGATGTTCGCTCCAGAACTCAAACCTGAAAGAATTTTATCCAATATACCTTTTATCTAGACCAGTGTTTTTCAACCCTGGTCCTCAAGGCACACTGCTCTGCATGTTTTGGATGTTTCTGAGCTTCAGCACGCCTGATTCAGATGATTGCAGTTCAGCAAAGCCTGATAATCTGCTATCAATTGATAACAGGTGTGTGAAAGCTGGGAAACATTTAAAACATGCAGAGCCTTGAGGACCAGGATTGAAAAACACTGATCTAGACGAATGTTTAAATGTATGCATCTATTTGTTAGCAAAGGCTGTGGGAAATTTTAGTTTGTCTTAATTTAGAAATATGGATGTTGTGCTTGTTCCTGTTGCAACAGTGTAGATTTACCCTGAGGTTCTGGTGCCTATCCACTTTTGGACACCCCTCAGTATATACTGCTTATTGCCTGGCCACCCTTATGAAAATTTTCTGGCTACGCCCCTGTATGCAGTGCCCTACACAAATAGCTTCATGCAACAACATAGTTCTGTATTGATAAAATGGCACAGGCTCTAAAGCAATCCACCTTTATTTTATTTAGTTATTTAAAAGGGAAAAGTGTTTCCATTAAACGTGTAAACGCTACATCATTTATAACCTCTTATAATTTACAAAGCTCACTCGTTCACATCATTCTAGGGTGCAATTTAGAATCAGTGCATTTCGGATCAACTATGCCAGCAAAGTTGTCCTCTTTTTAAAAGTTAATGAAAGCAACAATCATTTTTTGTTACAGTATATTCAGCATTGGATTTTAATCCGTTTTTCTTAATTTAAGTTTAATAAAAAAAAGCAAATTACCAATATGTTAAAAAGTAAACTGATCCCTAGTATTAGGTATGCTGGAGGATCTATGATGCTCTGGGCCTTTTTCTCTTGCAAATGTCCTGAAACCTTGTAGGAATCAATTCACAAGTAAAGTGAGTGTGGATCGTCGTGAAGTCTTTAAACTGAGTCAGTCTGAAGTGGAGGGGTTTAGGTCTTTGACTTAAGGGGGTCAGGCATAGAACTCTAGCATGTCTATGAGTAAGAATTGCTGAGGGGACCCCTAAATAAGAGAGCTGCTGAAAAGACTTATCATGTGATCTTTCAATTAGATAATACTAAAAAAAAAAGAAAAAAAAAAAAAGAAAGAAAATGGGACTAAATGACAAAGAATCAAAAGTAACTTTCTTCCGGTACTATCTCAGACCTTAATACTTGAGAATATTTCTGATGTGACCTAAATGTACTAAATTAAAGGTTGGACTTTTCTAAACTATTCTTGGGGAGATGATGCTACAGCAACAAAGGATGGGTTTAATTTTAAAGCCTAAACATGGAGACATATTAAATGGGATACTAAAGGATTTTACTGATTCTGTATTTGGCATTCTACTGAACTACAAAAGTACAATTAGTATAACAAATCTTGTTTTGGTAGTTTTAATTAGCTTTTTTTAAGATGGCTTATTCCACTTTTCACTCTAATTCTCTCTCTTTTTTATATTTAATCAGCTATAAACAGGAAGAAAAGTGGTCCCAACTCTTTACATGATTATTGCACAGCATGCAAAATAAGGTTTGCAAGTGCTCTGCATGTGGTGGCACTTCTTTATAGTTTTTCAGTCTGTGTTTTAGGTAATAAAAACGTAGATTGTGTAGGATATGAACAACAGCCTGTCAATGCAAGATGCAGAACTCAGCATCTTCTCTCTCGCAGAGCTGCAACCATCAACCAGTCACACCTTACTCCTTAAATTGGAGCCTCAAGGCATACATGGCAGTTTCTCTCGTACACAAGGGGTTGAAATATTGCAGCAGTAGTTTATGATGGTGACGTTTCAAGGCTCGAAAAACAGAGCCTGAGCACGGCTGTTAGTAAAGTCTCCATACTTCAACCATCTTATAGTGATACGGAGAGAGATTTTTCCCACAAAACTCGCATTTGTTCACAGCTTCTGCAGCCAAAACAAAGTACACCGAATGGCCATACACTGGTTTATCCTTAATAAACATTTACTGTGAAGTGCAAACCAAGCCTTCTGTATGTGTAAATCCCTTTATTGTCCCACAATGGATAAATTCACTCTCTGCATTTAACTCATCCCCTTGGGGAGCAGTGAGCTGCCACTGCGTGGCACCTGGGGAGCAGTCTCGGGTTAAGGGTCTTGCTCAGAGACCCAGAGTGGCATTCTGTATGAATAAGAGGGGCTCTAACCACTAAGCCACTGCCCCCACCCAGTAAGTGAGATGTTAAAACATTCCTCATTGTTTTGGATCTAAGCAGAGCCAACACAAATACTGCAAATGTGGGAACTGGAATAGCATGATCCAAATATAAGGTATAGATTTGCAGCAGGTCCTCCTCAATGGTAAACCCATTTTTCGGTCAAATTATCAACCTGCTTTATACGTCTAAAGAAGTAATTTTTTCTGTCATTTTTTTGTATCAAATACCCTAAAACATTAGATTGGACGCAAAGCACCTGTGAATTTCATGAGTTTTTGAATAGAATAGAACTTTATTGTCATTATACTGTCACAAGTGCAGAGCAAAAAAATTTAGTTTTAATCTATCCATAAGTGCTATACACGATATAAATATTTATTCGATTCAATTCAGTTTATTTATATAGCGCCAAATTCACAACACATGTCATCTCAAGGCACTTTACAGTTCAACCAGATCATACAGTCAAATTGATACAAAGTTTTCTATCTAAGGAAAACCAGTTGATTGCATCGACTCATTGACTCAAATACAATCCCTCACACTAAGCATGCTTGTAGCGACAGTGGAGAGGAAAAACTCCCTTTTAACAGGAAGAAACCTCCAGCAGAACCAGGCAAACCTCCAGCAGAACCAGGCTATTGACATGTCACAAGAGTATGTATGTATTAACCATAAATGGTATATATAAAAAAAGAGTCATTGTAAGAGGCAAAATAAATAAATATTAAAACTGTATACAGATTATACAGGAAAGTTAGGATGTGGATTATATATACATATATATTATTGGGGTCGTAATACAGGATAAATAGTGACTAATAATTTATTATGACTAAAAAGGTTTATAATAACTAAAAAATAATGATAAATAATACTAGGCTGTTCTAACAGATGGTCTGGCTTTACGTCCAGGATTGTGCTGGAAGGTGAACTATTGCTCCAGTCTTTTTTCAATGACTTAAATTCGTTAAGCACTATTCATCTTCCCACGTGTCCCATAAAATCATGCACAGTGTTAGTTTTTTCTTTATGTTTTCCATTTTCAGATGCTAGTTCTAACAGTGCTGTTTTATGAGATGTTGAAAGATTGTTTTCTACCTTTATAATCCCTTTAACTACTCCACAGTTTCATCCCTGGCCTGCGTTGAGCTGTCTGGTCTTAATGATGCTCTTATTGCACCACCAGGCTATAACAAATCTCTTAAATCTCTAAAGAAAAGCTGTATTTACACCGAAGGGAAAAAAATCCCCTAATGAACTGTATTCCTTTTTTCCCCCAATGCATACACTGTTCTGTGTTAATCTATCACTTAACTGTGTGTTACAAAAAAATCCAGGGGAGTCAAGATGATGTTCAAAGGTGCATATCTGTCAAATAGCACCTATCTGTATCAGTCCTGCTAGGTTCTATAATGCTGGTTCTACTGAGCACACAAAAACACTCGCCCAAAATGTACCACTGACATTTGATATTGGATATTAAAATAAACATTGTTTTAAATTTTTTTCTACTGTTATAATTTTGGGAAGGGCATGAGAAATAAGCTAAGGTTTGGTTGA